AAATCTTAACCCCGACCCAAATCCTAATGCTCAATTTCTCAGTGAGAGTTTGACCAGGCCAGTTTTGACAGCGGTTGCCGCGTACGTCACAGCATGGAGACAAACACGGTAAGTTGAGGGTAAATAAGGCTATAGTGAAAGTACGCTTGCGTTGCATCTGCCACCCTCGTTTCGCTTGTCCCTCGTCTGTGTTCGGTGTCATAATCAAATTAAGAAGGCTGGCAGCGGCGGCGACAGGAGAAAGTACAGGTAGCTTGCGGGGTCGGAGACGTCCTTTAGCGTAACGCCGCGCCTGACTTGGAGTGGGAGTGCCGTAAAGGCCACTTTAAGAAGGAAGCATTGCAACCAGACTCGGTCCGCTAGTCGGCCAAGCCGCACACACACGCTAGACTAACTTCACGGTCTGAGGTATCCCGACAGAGAACTACCTTCCAAGCCACGCATCTTGACAGCTTAGAACACGTCAGATAGTTTATAGGGACAAAAGAACACCAAGTCGTCGAAAACATCCCCTTTTTTTCCATTCCTATCTCCCAGCCACCATCTACTACTGACTATTGGCTGGGGTGAGTCGCCTAATACAAACTCTAATCCTGTCTTTGAACAGACTGTCAACAGTAAACCTGTATAAGTGCTTATTCAGGCTTCTGAATAACGCCATATAATGCTGCGATACAAGGTTCCACCAGACCGAGGAGACAGCATCTGGGAACAAAAATCATCTGCGTTCTACTCGGAAGCTAATAAATTGATAAGTATAAGAGAAACAAAATTTCAACCACTACATTCGGGTGTCCTATTTTTACCTGGAGATACGCTTCACATTTGAAAGTACAATTCAAAATTTTTCTTTAGGCAAACCGCTGCGTAGAGTAATTGTTAACATAGTTCGGCAACAAAACGAGGGAGACTACTGTTTTCGGTGCGGTATACAAACGCGCACAGAATTCATCGCAGGTATTATTGGAGGCGAGGGAGAGTATTCAACGATCAAGGCGGCCTGAAGACGGCCAAGCACAGAAAGGTTAGGAAAACCAGACTGGCCCGAACTTCCCTTACCAACTACTTGTTAGGCCATAAACAAACCTGTGTGTAAACCCTCCACAAACGAACAGTTGCACCTTGAATTGAGATAGCAGCAAAACACCCTTGGCAACTGCTCACTCTCTTTCGGCAGAAGGCTTAAAAACGGCAAGGTGGAAAGCCTGGTGAGTACTTCCGAACATGAAGCTTCAAACACTGGGGAGAAGTCATGCTCTTGTGCAACATGTCCTTGTCAATCCATGAGACTTCGGAATCCCTGTTACGAGTGGGCTTGACGAAATTCATCTACCACATCCACAGCAGTTCCTGTGAGTCGAGCAGGCTGGCAAACGAGTGTAGACCCTCATGCCTTAAGCGAAAAAGGCTGGAAGAAGAATGGGCTGGTTCTCCGGACACTTTGTGTTCGCTAGCCATGATGCCCACATTCTGAGCTAGAGGAAGAGCCGAACAACCGAATAATCAGTCGAGGCTTTTCGCACTGGAGTAACTTTTTTCAGCCGGTGCGTCCGAACGAAGTCATACCCGTTAAACTAACTAAGGCTCGTGTGTGTGTGCCGTAGCCTATTGTTGGATCAAGAGTCCCCGCCGGAATCCAAACTGGCAGTAGATGGAAGACGGAGAAGCGTCAAGACCTCGACCGGTGAGGGTGAGTTAGGTGCCTGGCCGGGAACTGCAGGCAAACAGATGCTGACAGTCAGGCAGAGAAACGCTAGAGTCGGGACAGCAGTCGGGCGTGGACGGGTCGAGCCGGTGTTGGTACTGGCGAAGGACCATTGAACAGCCACTGCGTAGTTGAGCCAGAGTACAGCGAGTGACCCTGGGGAGTTGTTGTTTTGAGGCCGCAATTGAAGGTGGATAGCGGCCCAAAAGGACCGGGGATGGAAACCTCATGTTTCCTCGAAAAGGGCTATCTGGTGAAGACGATGGAAGCCTGTCATGATGACAGAGCCCTCAACGGGTAGATACGAGAGACCCGAGGCAAAAGCCTCCTTGTGGAGAGCTCGAATAGGGGTGGTGATTATGATGGCTGGGTTGCTAACAGGTCCACCAGAACTGCTGGCCTGATAGTGTGTTGTGAGGAGCTAC